TGGGCCGGGCCAGTTTATTTCCCTGCTGATGCGGCAGGTTCGGCCGATCACGGCCCCCACTGGCCGCGGTTCACCGTCCCGGGCCAATGGGGGCGGCGGAAAGCCCCGGCCAGCACATCCCTCGCCTGCACCGCTTCTCGCCGCCCCCATTGGCCCGGGACGGTGAACCGCGGCCAGTGGGGGGCCGTGATCGGCCAAACTGCCGGGTCAGCCGGTAAATAAACTGGCCCGGCCCGCCAGGATGCTTACCCTGGCGAGCCATATGCCAAACGTTGCTGACCCCTGGTCTAGCTGTTCTGACTGACTGGGCAGAATCACAGCTGTCCCTTCTCAGACCCAAAGTCTAAGAAGAGTGGAAAACAATTGTAACTCTTTAATCCCTACTAGTGGCCTGCACCTTTTCTGTAGCTGCTTGGAATTTTCTCCAGGGCAAAAGAGGGATAGAGAGCTGCTGACTAGATATAATTTCCAACTGGAACTCTGAAGGGTCAGTCCCCCTATACAAAGCATTATATTTTCTTCTGATAGGAAGATGATACTTTGTTGTAATTCTAGATGTGGTGGAAAGATGATTATATGTTAGTCAATGAACTACAAGACAACATATATTTATCTCTAATACTCCTCCAAAAGAGTTTGTAACATCCTGGAACTGGAGCAATTTGGCAGATGGAGCTCACAGATTTTACCACCTGTGTCAACAGATTTTGGGATCATCTTGAACCAAGCAATTCAGTTGATTGAGCTTATGTGCTCCACAGCTTCGTGTTTTCTTAAATTTTGAACTGATAGAACTTACAAACTAAACACACTTCTCCATCTGCGTCTATAGTGTGGCATTTTCCAATAGCACCTAACCTCCTTTTGAAAATCTCAGTCTAATTCTCTTTAAACCAGTGATTTGGCTGATGAAGTATACAAACAAGAAAGGCCTGTGTGACTCTGCTGACAAAGAGTCTATAAATTCTGCTAACGGAGTGTGTAATCTTCCTGAACTTGAGCAGGGTTTACCAACTCTTCTACCATGGCTATGTTCCAATGGTGATTCTAAACTCCATGTGGTTTTGGCAAAGTTCACAAAGACTGACATAATATTGAAGGAGTTGCAATTTTGGCTAGGGACATCCAGGTAAATTCTTTTACTAAAAGAAACATGAAATCTTTAATGTCTATATAAAATAAATTAAAAGTATCCAGTGGGCTTTATGAAAAGAGGACTATGTTTGGGCAAGGAAAGTTTTGATTTTGTAGATATATAAATACTACAGAGCTCAGTATTCCTTAATAGAGCTGGTTGAAATTTTTAAACAAGGTTAATTAATAAAAAATCATCCTTTTTAAAAAAACGGTTGACTTTTTAAAGAAATTAGACATTTTAATCCAAAAAGTTATTGAAATGGTTATAAAATTTTTCACTTACTAAAATAATGTCAACATTTGAGAAAATGTGTTTAAAATATAAAAATTGGGTTTAATTTTGATCCCAAAGAAATCGAAACAACTTACAAATTTTGAATTTTTTCAGAATTTTACTTTTTGACCAACCCTACTTACTGGCCAACTCTTCTAAAGTTAAATATAGCAGGAATAATTTTGGGGAAGTTCTGTGTCCTGAGGTACACAAGAGGTTAGATATATCTGGTATAACAGCCTCTTTTTGTGTGTCATGGCTTACCTGCTAAGGTTAAGTCTTTAAC